ACACAGTATCATGTCGCCTTCCACACAGTCATAAGTGGTGCTTCATAGGACATCGACGGTTCCTCAATTCTAAGCACAAATTTAGATTGCAACAGATTCGCTTTGGTGGAAAACAAAAATAGAGAGATCCTCCTATTATATTGTCTAGTGTGGATATTTTGCAGTAGTTACAAGATGTTGATGTTGAGTTTGGCAAGAATGTGGATCCCCAAACAACTAGGACGATGCTCTCATGGGACATCCGATGCCCAACCTATGCAATGACAAAAGAGAAGCATATTTTTCACTCTTTTTTATTGGGAATCTAATTTGCTACAACATAGTTTGGATTTTATGCACATTGAAAAAAATGTGTGCAATAATGTGCTATATGCGTTGCTCAACGAAGCTAGAAAATCCAAAGACCATCTCACAGCTAGAAAAGATTTACGAGCTTGGGAAATTCGTGAAGAGGCTTGGCCTGATGAAAATGACAAGTTTCAACTAGCTAAATTCACGTTGACAAAGCAGAACAAGGATATCTTCCTTTCAACATTGAAGAACATAAAAGTACGTGATGGATATTCTAGTAACATCTCAAGGTGTATCGATCTGCAGGCTCGAAAGTTTACTGGGTTAAAAAGTTATGACTCCCATGTTCTTATGCAATAGTTACTTCTATTGGCTTTGAGAAATACACTTCCTTTTGATGTATCAGTGGTTTTGGTGGAATTGTGTTCATTTTTCAAGAAGTTGTGCACAAAGGTCTTGATACTGGACGAGCTCGATCAGCTGCAAAATAAAATAATTCTTACACTTTGTCACTTGGAGATGATATTTCCTCCATAATTCTTCACTGTCATGGTTCACTTGATTGTCCACCTTGTTCAAGAAGCAAAGGTTGCTGACCCAGTTCAATATCAATGGATGTACCCTATAGAGAGGTACTAGATTATCTTTTGTCTCTGCCTCTTTAAATTTGACATTATTATTTCAATTGCTCCAATTATTAATAGAATATTAGCCTGCAGGTATTTGGAAAAAATAAAATCATATGTTTGGAATAAGACATGGCCTGAGGGGTTAATAGCAGAAGGTTATTCCAGAGATAAGGTCCTAACTTTCTATTCAAGGTACTTTGATGACATGGAGACATCTTTTAACCGCCCGCGTCACGTAGATGATTCTCCTCCTAGTCCTTCCATGTTAACTTTATTTTCTCTTGCTAAGAAACCAGTTGGAGGATATAAATTCTTCAGACTCACTCCCACAAAGAAATTCTAGGCACACATACATGTTTTGATAAATTGTAACCAAGTTAAACCCTTCATGTAGTAAGTATTATATAAGCTCACTAACTTTCACATTTTATATTTGTTTCTCACTGACTCTTCTAACAAATTACGCTTCATTGTAGTGAGTTTAGAAATTACCTCAGGCGACAGTTATGAGGGCATGCATGTTCCACTGACATTGATAAAAAATTTCACAGAGAGTTTCCCGGTTGGTTTACATGTCAAATACGTAATGACAACAGCCTATACACAGATGAATTCAAATCTCTTTCCCTCAGTCCGTTAGACCATGCATGAAGGTTTACCACATATAATGTCAACGAGTTCAAGTTTTATATGGTTAGACGTAATCAGGGATTGCTCACACAAAACTCTGGAGTTTGCGGGACATTCGAGACGAGATGTTATGCTAGCAGTAGTGACAATGACATGCGCTTTGGAGGCATCACTTACTATAGAAAGCTAATTGACATCGTTAAGTTAAGTTACCAGCTTTTCACAGTAACTCTGTTCAAGTGCTCCTGGGCAAATACGACAACTTCACGGGGACTCACTACTCACCACTTAGGCATCACCTCTGTTAATTTCTCTGGACGCATTCATACGGGGGAATCTGAAGATGATGAGCCATATATTCTTGCCTCCGAGACACACCAGGTTTACTATGTCTCAGACAAGAAACATAAAGACTGGAATATGGTCATTCACCTCAACCCACAAGATCTTTATGATATAGGTGATGGTGATATTTACGACAGCAAATCCTTCCAACCCACAAATTTTGAAAACTTCTTTCCTCAACGAGGCGATAATTTGGCCATTATCAGGTATATGTCTTTTCTTATAATTAACTACTAATTTAATTACATATTTTTTCTAAATATATTATAATTCTAACAATAATTTTTTTAATATCTCCTTTCAGGCAAGATGATGATCAAGAATAGTAGTTTTAATAATTTTTATCATTCATATAATTTGTTTTTCATAAATACATATGTACAAAGTAAAATTGGTTCACTTTTTTAAAAATTAAAAAATTGCAATTTGTAGCAGTTAAAGAACTGCTAGAAATGACAAACTGCTACAAAATGTATTAAACCGCTACAAATTGTAAGAAACCGCTAGAAACGTCTCGCTGATCTCTATAAATACCATATCACTTCCTCATTCATCTTTCCCATCTCTTTTACTTCCTCTCCTCTTCTTTATAATTTTCTTTTTTCTTCTTGCTCTCTCATATGGTGATTTTTTTTCCTCTTCTTTATATGGTAAGATAGTACTCGTTTTATAAATTTTAATTTCTTTTATTTATCTTTCTTTATAATTTACTAACATATTTATTTATTTTTTCTTTCAGATTTTTCTTTTTCACATTTGTCATGTCCTCCTTAACTAATTCAACCACTTTTCAACATAAGGGTTAAGGTTCAATATTATAAACTATCCCATCTCTAATTCAATTATCTTATTAAATTAAATTAAATTCATTTGATACAATCATAATTTAATTACTTATTATTGATCACTAAATTCAAATATATAACATGTAATACATTAGTAAATATACATATTAACAAAAATTCTCTAATATAATCAATTTAATGATTTTTTAATTTATAAAATTATATTTTTTAATAATAAAATATTTGAATTTTATTTTTTTGGTCTGGAATGAACTTTCTAACGATTCAAAACCACTAGAAATTTTAAAAAAAGAGAAAATTTTTTTTGCAAAATTTAAATTTTGTTACACCTGGTGCCAAATTTCTACCAGTTAAAAATTGCTAGAAAATTTTGGCGCTAATTTGAAAATTTTGATTCTTGGCAAAATGTAATTTCATACAAATATTTCTAGCGGTTACCAATCACTAGAAATTTTTTGTGCCAATATGAAAATTTTGTTTCCCAGCAAAATGTAATTTCGTCTAAAAGTTTCTAACGATTTATGTGACCGCTAGAAATATTTTTACATTTTCTAGCGGTTTTTAACCACTGCAAATATCATCTCATTCACCTGTGCCTGCTTGTTTTTTATGGCAGTTATGTTAACCGCGAGAAATTTTTTGGCATTTTGACCAGACTGTGTAGCGGTTCCCTTAACCACTAGAAAACTGTTTCTTACACTTGATTTTCTAATGGTTTGGCTAATTGCTACAAATGTTGTTTGTTGCGGTTAAAACCGCTAGAAACGTCATAATTTAACTGCTAGAAAATACCTATTTTTTTTGTAGTGTCATCATCATCTAATCAGTTTCCACTCGTCAGACACACGTCAACAACTTCTAATCAAACTTCTGCATTAGCTAAATATGTCCAAAAGTCATTGCCATAAGCTTCTTTGGTATCCATAAAAAAATATTATTGGAAAAGCAAACCTAATTGACTACTAAAAAACCTTCGTTAACGCACATCGATTGAGCTCATTTTCACATCGAAGAATACTTATACAATATTGTTCATACAAAGAGACATTCAGTATATGATTCTCTTACCACTGTCTTCATCATATACCAAATAGACAAGTGTATTTTTCACTTTCAATTCACAAGCAAAAGTGACTATAACCTCCACTCTGTTACCAGGCTCCAAATTAGAGATTATGCCTTGCCAATTATCTTCATCATCATTTGAAGCAGTTGTTTCATCTTTCTGGTACAATTTTATGGTGGCCTTTGTACGGTTTGATACCAAGACACCAATAGGATATACAGATGTCATGTTGTTTTGAAAAGGCCAATAGATTATGCACAGAACCAATCCTTTCAAACTTTTGCCACTAATTTGAGGAACTTCGAAGAATATTGAGGATCCTTCACCTTTAAAATTCCGCCAATGAGGATAATTGTCTCTAGGAAGAGAATTAACTCCAAACCCTCTTTCATTGCATCCCTAATTCATGAAGATACTCAAGAACCCAATTAACCATATAGACCAAAAGGCAGTTACATATATAGATGGCCATTCAAATATAGATGATATTAGTGCACACTCTTAAACACATATTTTTAGACCCCAACTAAAATGTACTTGAATTCTTTTTATTACTTAACACAAAATGGTTTGAGAATGAGGTTTGAATATTAAATCACTGGGGTTGATTTAATTCCAAATTAATTAGAATTAAACATTAATTTCCAGATGAAGGCAAATACAGTAACAACCTATATCTGAATATGTAGTGTAGTATGCTTTAAAACATTATGAAACATACATAACCTTTTCAAAATTGCATGTATCCTTATGTTGTCTACATATCGGACATTTGACACTAGTTTAAACATAACTGACTGTTTCTATATGCCTTCTAAAAACTTAAAAAGCATAATTAATGTGAATTATTATGCATTTACACATGCACATACATTATCATAAGCATGCGACTTTCGTGCGCACACATGATATTAACTATAAAAGCATGCATTGAACTTTCAAGTTAAAACATGTATGAAAAAACCATTCTTTTTTTTTTTTGACCAAGTGAAAAGCATTCTTTTGAAACCTAACTAAACTATGCATGGTGGTAGTAGAGAGATAAAGAGAATAACCTGTGAAATACTCATTAAAAGAGTGTCAATAACTTTGTTGAACTCGCCTACATGAATTGTTATAGAACTCATGAATGTTTTTGACCTTTCCTTATTGTGAGCCTGCTCACGGAAGTCAACCAAAGCTGGAGTCTTTTTGTATGAAGCTTGAGATGTTCCTGGTGTTGCTTTTAATATTTCACAACTTTTGGCGAACAAAGGTTGTGAAAGAATCTTGATTAATGATGGCATGATCCCAAATACTCGAAATGAGGACCTTGAATGATTTGTTGGGGGCAACCATGTCAACATAAGAGATGGAAATATATCTCGTGACAATCCTTCATAACCACATAAAGAAACATATTTAATGTTCTTCAATCTCACTAATGAGATGGGAGCTTGAGTTATAGCAGTTCCAGTTGCCACTAAAACCATTAAGGATTCCATTTTCTCAATGTCTTCATCCAACCTTTCAATCTTGGAACAACCAAAAAGATTGAAAGTTTTCAAAGATTTCAAGTCATATATACTCCTTGGAAGATGCTCCAAGCCATTACAGTTTTTCAAATTTAGCATGATAAGATGTCTAAGATTTCCAATAGAAGGGTGAATCACAGACAAACCAAGACAATCTTTAAGTATCAACTTCTCAAGATACGGTAATTTTGAAAAGTCCGGTGTTTCTGTTAGGTAGTGAGAATGACTCAGATTGAGAATTTTCAACCATTCCAGCACCTATGGAAAGAGAATATCTCAAAATAAAAATTACAATATAGAAAGAAACAATAATATAGATGTAAAAATAACACAAATCTCGTTATTAATGTTTGATCCCAAAAGTTCATTATTGCAAGTACCTGGCTTTTCTCCCATACTTTTGTTAGTTTACTCCACTTTAAATCAATGGCAACTATCCTTTTTAGATTGAAGTTTGTTGGCAAGCTCTCTAAAAGAAATCTACGCCAACAAAGCCATCTCAATTCTTTTGATAGATAACCATATTCTCCATTAAGCTGTACATGATCAAAGTTGAGTAAACGAAGCCTCTCCATCTTCTTAAATGCACCAGTACTCAATGATACTGAATTGTTTCTTGGCATGCTTAATGACAATCCCTTAGTAGCTACTGTTCCCTGTGAAAAGCAAAAGAGGAGAAAACAGAACCAATATAATCTCCTGTTAGCAACTCAAGGAATGCACAATAACGAATTATGAAGAAACAAATATTAAGACTTTAATGGAAGAAAATTAATTGCTCAGTTAAAAATTCTTACAATCTTATTTTCTAACACATTCAATGTGTCATCATTAGACCATAATCTAGTACGTTTCTCTGGCTCCTCTGGAAATTGCTCACGAATGATTTCTCTTCCCATATCACGTAGCAAGTCATGCATATCAAGTACATTTTTGTTTCCAAACTTCACCACTTTTACAAGGCTTCGCTCAATTAGATGGGTGATTCCCATTTCTGCATGAAGTCCACAACTATCTAATACGCGAGTCACATAGCTTCTGTCCTTTCCAATGAAAAAACAACATATGTCTAGGAATAGCTCTTGCTCTGTTTTATCAGTCAGACCATCATAACTTATCTTTAAAATTTCATATATTTTACCATTGGGAATTTGTTTCAATTTATTCAAAGCACTTTCCCAATAAGGTATTTCCCTGTCAAACAAATATGAGCCAAGGATTTCAAGTGCTAGTGGTAGCCCTCTACAGTATGATACTACCCTTCTTGAAAGTTCAATGAAATTCCTTTCAGGAAGTGCTTGCTTAAATGCATGCCAACTGAAAAGCTCAATAGATTCATTCTCATCCATTTCCTTTGCACTAAATACTTTATCTGCTTGAAGGATCTGAAGTAGACGTTCGTCTCTTGTTGTAATAATTATTCTGCTTCCTTGGCCAAACCATTCACGACTCCCGCATAAAACTTTGAGCTGGTTTTCACTACTGATATCATCTAATACAAGAAATACTCTTTTCTGACAAAGAATTTCCTTGATTGGAGATTTTTCACTCCCAGCATTTGGTAGATTGATTCGTCTTGTTTTTAAGATGCTGGAAATAAGTTGTTCTTGCAAATAAACTTGACCATTATCTTGCTTCCATACTTCCCTAATATTTGCAATGAAACTCTTTCCCACAAAACTTTGGCCTATTTCATTGTAAATGGTTTTAGCCACCGTAGTCTTGCCAATCCCTCCCATCCCCCAAATGCCTATTATGATGGTCTCATTTGATTCACTACTTAGCAATTGGATGATATCTTGCACTCGAGACTCCAAACCCACTGGATGGTGAGCAACAAACATGTATCGGCTATTGTCTAGCCTCATTGTGACAGTTTTAACAACATCATCAAGTAACTCAGTCTCAGTTCTGGCAACAACAAAGAATTAGATAACCAGAAGTTTACCAAGAATCATTAAAATGCATGCTGGCTACAAAACTATAGAAGCAATAAAATGACAGACATGTAAAGTTATCCAAAACAAGAAATATGAGTAACACGTTGGAAAAGGATCAACTTTGGCTACTGGTTTCATCATTCTTTTCCTGTATTGTCAAATACCATCATCGATTAGAGTATCAATTATTTTATCTTTTAAGATAACCGGAGTATGAGCTGACCTAACTATAGAAAACTTGAGCTCATGAGATTCATATGGTACATAACGCTTGGCTAGATACTATAGATCCTCACGCATATATATTGAATTTCCTCTCACTTATCTGTGCATCTCTATACATAACTTTGTGATTTTCATAGCAAATAACATATAGAACCATTTTCCATACGAGAGAATCAACAATAAGGTGCCAGACGGACTCATGTTCTATATTAACTAAACAAAAGCTATGATTGTTTCATTTATTTCTAAACAATGTTGCCAACAGACATTTCAAGGGGAGTCTTCTATTCCTCTCTTCTAGATTTAGACCCGGGATTCCATTAGCTTAGGTCCAACTAGTGGAACTTGTAATTTTGAATTGAATTGACCTTTGGATTAAATGTTTTATTGTTGAGAGAAACCAACTACTCTTGTATGATTTAGGTATATTCTGATCGTGTGGTTTTGTACGTTTGTATAATATTCTTTTATTTTCAGACCTCCTTAGAAACAATTTAATGTCTTTAAATCTAAGATTTGGTAAAGCTTTGTTAATGTGATTAGATTGCTACTATCAGTTAGAAAGAATTATTTCTGAGTTTGATTTGAGCATATAAGTGTAGGTCAAGTGGTATACTGTGAGAGTGTGATAGTGGCCGAAGATTAAACTTAGGGATTAGTGTTGATTTAGGCCCATCATACTTTAGGGTTCTCTCGATGTATATAAACTGACTTGGTAACTAATGATCGAACTTGGTAACTAATGAATCAGTAATATAAAGTCAAGCAACGAAGGTCAAAGGCATCATTCTAGGAGTTGACCATCACAATTTGCGTTAACTTTCAATTCCACCACTGCCTCCATATTCTTTCAACACTGTCACAAAACTGGTTGTTCTCATCTCCCATCTTTTTGTCTGGTAGAAGAGAAAAATAAAGTAAAGGCCATTTTTCGCGTGGTATAATCGACCAAATGAAAAATAACTAATTTATCTAATTTTTTTAATATTTAAAAATTGGTTATTTAACTCTTACATTAAAAACAAGAGTTGGTATAAAATAAAGGGGGAAAATGGAAGAATACGTGGGCCCAACAGTTTCACATCAGACCTTAGGAATGGGGGTTAATTACTGATCGTAATTTTTTCTTCGCATCCCAAAAACAGGAAAGAGGCATTGGTCGTAATTTTCTCTTAAGGCTGATGGGCTTGCTAGATGAAAGAGGTATAAAGATAATTTTCACCGGAATAAAGGGAGGAAAGAGTCAGTCAGGCAGGGGAAACCCGAGACGTGTAGCAGCAAGCGAGACACAACTTTTTTTTTCCTTTCTGCCAATGGAGACACAAATATAATGCTACTTCCGCTCCTTAATATAATAAAAACTAGTTTAACTTTTAATTTAATCTTAAATATAATACTCCAATCTACTTTGCCTATCATATTTATCTATTTTTCTAAGACAATCCTTATATATAGTAGTTATATATATTTTAGGAAAGACAACACATATTTATTATAAATAATTGACTTAACGAATTATAATCTCAATACGGGGAATTTGTCATTCCAATTTCTATTAGAAAAGTAAAAGCAATAAAATCCAGTTTTACAAGTCACTTGTACTTGTTTGATTTTAAAAAGTATATCTCCTTGACCAATATATGATTGGTTTTTCTTATGCTTGCCTGAACAACTGTTATCACTAGACATTATTTTCTTTTCCTCTCTAAAATCTTACATTGCTGGTGAGAATGGATCATAGGAATAAGAAAGTTAATCCAATTACTATCCAAAATGTGTTTCGAGTGTGTTTTGGACATCTTAATGTTAATGACTCGATTCATTTTGTAGGAGACATCTAGTGAGGAAGAAATTATATTGAAGGCTAAGACTGTTAGTGAATCTATCCATGTATATATAAACAAAATTAGGGAAACTCAACACATAAAGACAAACTTAAAGGATTATTTTATCATTCCAAATAATAAATAAAAGAAAATAACATTACCTGTAATTTTGCATGTCCCACCCTGATAAGCTGGCAGCCTCAGCAAGGAGTCTCTTCAAATAGTTTGTCAATTTCTTATCTTCACTACTTGAGGGTCTTGTTATAAGTCTTTCCCATGCTTTTCCAAAAGCATTTTGTTGTTTACGAACATCAGATGGTTGCACATCATAGAATATAGGGAAAACCTCTTGATGAATTTTGTAACACTCCATGATTTTCTCTAATTCTTGCAAGCACCAACTAGAGCCAGCATAATTTTTTGAGAATATAATGATTGAAATTCTAGAATTTTCAATTGCCCCTAGTAACGAACTTGAAATGTTTTCCCCCCTTTCAATCCCTTCTTCATCCATGAAAACCTCAATTCCTGCCTGTTTCAAAGCATAATAAAGATGAGTAGTAAATGATTTACGCGTATCCTCACCCCTAAAGCTTAAGAACACATCGAAACATGTGAACTTTGGCTTATTGTCTGTAGTGATTCCCCTCCATATCTCTTGTAGCAAATCATGCACATGAATCTTGTCATTGACAACCTTTACAAGGTTACGCTCCATTAGTACTTGCATTCCCATTTCTATTGAGAATGTTGAGCCCTTAAACAAATCTGTAACATAATGTTTGCTCTGGCCAACATGAAAGTGCGCTATATCACAAAATAATTCCTTTTCTTCATCAGCCAACAGGTCTACGCTTATTTTAAGCATACGTTGTATATGGCCTTTTGGAACTTCTTTTAATTTATTCAATACTTTTCTCCACTCCGATTTTGTCCTATTGTGCAAAAGAGAGCCTATAAGTTCTAGAATCAATGGTAGCCCTTCACATAAAGTAATTAGTTTCCTAGAAAGATTCACAAAATCATTTGTTGGATCACAGCTTTTAAATGCATGCCAACTGAAAAGCTCAAGAGATTCATTGTTGTCCAGCCTTTTCATTTCATATGATTTTTCAACAAAGTTCTCAAGTAACTTTTCTCTTGCTGTAACCAAAATCAAACTCCCTTTGCCAAACTGCTGTCTATTTCTACACAGTTTATCGAGGTCATCTGCTTGATTTACACCATCAACTACAACTAAGGCTCTTTCATAAGGTCCTTGTTTCATATGGTTTAGATGCTGACCTAGTGACAGAAGTTGACAATTATCATCGTCCTCCCATTTACCCTTGATATTAGCAAGAAAACTTTTGTAATCAAAATGGCCACCAATTGTATCATAAATAGTTCTGGCAATGGTAGTTTTACCAATACCTCCAACCCCCCAAATTCCAACTATGATTGTATTTTCCTTATGATGGTATTTCCAACCCGATCGTTGAAGCACTTCTGTCACACGAGGTTGCAACCCTACTTGTGATATGGCTTTTGCAATAAGGTTACCGACTACTTCTTGTCACTGAGGGCAAATTAGAGTTAGGATTAGACTAAAATTAATGGAGGTATATATGTGTTACCAAAGTAGATATATATATATATATATTTTCCCACATACAAAGATGTCAACCCCACACATTAACAATTTCTATATAATTTCACCAACCAAAACTCATACGTTACTAAGAAAAAGTTTATCTCATATTTGTTGCTATAATCCATTCAAGCATATAAATAGCTACTACAGAAAATGATTCTTTTTGTTGCAAAATCTATTCCAAATCAAATGTGCAAAATTCGTTACCAAAATAGTTGTGATGGATTTTTCCTTGATAAGGAGCGATATTCTACTTATTTTAATTTGTTGAAGCTAATAAACCATTTTTTCAGTTTGTTTACTGACCATTAACCTGAAAACCTAGCATGCACCGTTGCACTAACAGGGTGTGTTGTTCTGGGAGATATCTGGTAAGAAGAAATTAGAAAAAATGGCAGAAAAAGAATCTAAAAGTTATTAAATCCCAAATTAAGATTGCTTTCGAGACCTTAACATGTTTTGACAACATTTAACTTGTAAATAATAACACATTTTTGTAGAAATTTTAATTTAGGATTTAATAATTTCCACGTTTTTTTGGTCATTTTCCCAAGAAATTATGTTGAAGTCTTGAGACTATTGCACCAGTATGTTGTTGTGGGAGACATTTTTGGCTACCTTTGGTGGGGATAATTTTAAGCAGCCTTCTTTGACCAGAGATTTTAAGCAGCCTTTGGCACACAGAATGAATATTAAAAGAATAGAAATGGGAATGAAGACTGAAATGGGTCCCCAAAAAAATGTTTGTTATACATAATGGGGATGTTTGAATATTTTTTGTTTAATACATGTAATTACAATCGCCAAAGACTATAATACCCTTGGTGAAAAGATAATCCTCGCTTCTCAACCCCTTCCTCCGGAAAGGGTAATTTTATTGGGAAAAATTCAGATCTAGGCTTAGATTTTCAAACCCCACCTCCCTCGTTAGCTTTCAACCGTTTCTTTGTATATGGGTTTTTGCGAATCCGAGAACTGAAAGATACATTGTACCAAACGTGTAAAATAGTATAATCCCTAGGCCATTCTCATTCCCTCCAACCAAACGAGACTTCCGAGCTGTGTCATGTGTGGTCTAGGTAAACCATACTAAGTGTTATAAAAAACAAAAGAAAAAGAGGGGGAAAATTAAATTAAAATACTGCTGCAATATAATTTTTATATAGTACATTATGTTGTGCCGTTTGTCATTTTTCTTTGGAAGAAATAAAGAAGGCCAAAAGGGAAAAAAGTGGGGAAAAACTAACACTGTATTTGGTAAGAGGTTTTCAAAAAAGAGGGGACGGAAGTGGCTCCCCTCCCTTCATTTGGCTAGAACATTTTTTAATAGAGGGAAGGGAGCTGCTCCCCTTCTCTCATTTGGTGGGAACAATTTTTAGGGTTTGTTTGACTCAATGAGAAGAAGGGGAGGGGAGGGATTTTAATGGAGGGAAGGGGAGTGGAAGGATTTTAATATTACCTTGTTTGGATTTCTAAAATGGGAGGGGAGGGGAGGAGTTTTAATATCACCTTGTTTGGTTCATGAGGAGAGAGGAGGAAAAAATATTTAACATAAACAATTTTGCCCTTATTTTATTTAAGATTATTTTTTTTTCAAATTTTATAGAATGTTCAATAAAATAGAATTGTAAATAACATTTAATATATTGAGCAATACTTATTAAAATTCTAATATACTCTAGAGCATGAAGTATTATTGAAAAGAAGGCTGAAGTAATATTCAGTCATAACTTGTACTGTATCCTATCTTTGAATGAAATATTTGGCCATGCAAAGGAGAGAGCAGTGTCTTGAGACAAAAAGAAAAGGATTTAGGGTAGTATATGGATATTAAAAATAAATATGGGCATAATGGTCACAACATGACAAAATATTGCCATTCCCCTCCAAATCCTCCCAATTTTGGAGGGAAGGTTGAGGAGGGGAAGGGAGGAAAATTTTTTTAAGATTTTTCCTCCACTCCTAAAATTTGTGCGTTGCCACACAAAAGGAAATGATTAAAATCCCTCCCCCTCCCCTCCCCTCCCCTCCAAATCCCTCATACCAAACACACCGTTAAGGAGGGGAGAGGCTCCCATTCCCTTCTTTTTCTCTCTTAGCCTCCCCTCCAAATGTGGGATTTTGCAGAGAGGAAATGAGAGAGAAAATATTTAATTTCATAATTAGTGTAAAATAATATAACTTCTCTTTTATCCTTTCTTTGGCCCTTTCATTCTACACATTTCTCTCAATCTTACAATTTGAATAACTCTAATCAAGTCAACTTCATTCTCCTCTTATATTCAACAATTCAACTAGAAAAATCAAACTACTTAAAATTTTGCTAAAAAAATATGAAATGATAAAAATCATTGGAACAAAAAAAATAAATGATGAAGAATTATAATATTTTTGAAAAAGTCAATATAGAGTAATATTAACTTAAGCTAGATCATAAGCGGCTTTTAATCTTTTAATCAATTAAAAATTAAAAAAAGGAAATAAAAAGATAAAAAAATAGTAAAAATGTAATTTTTCTTTTGAACCCAGTAGGATCAACAAATAACATTGTGGAAAGAAATTTGATTTTAATTTTGTTTTGTTTTGTTTTTCTCAATGAGTTGTGTCTGTGGCAAAAGCATAACCTAGTGTTTTTTTTTCTTCAAGTTGATAAATTACCTCATACATAGTAATAAAATAAAAAATAAAAAATTTATTTAAATTTTATAAGAGTAAAATAATTAATTTCTAATAGCTCTTGATGAAATCTGAATCATTTAGAATTTGATTTAAACAATTTAAATTTAAAATTTTTGATCTGTGAATTTTTTAATTGTGAAAAGGAGAACAGAAATACTAAATTTGTATTTTATATCCTGAAAAGCAACACTACAAAAAAACAGACTTTAGGCGACGACTTTCGGCGGCGACAAAAAAAGTCGCCGCTGAACGTCCACTTTCAGCGGCGACACCAAAAAGTCGCCGCTGAAAGTGGACCTTCAGCGGCGACTTTTTTAGTCGCCGCTGAAAGTATAATATAATAATATATATTTTATTTTACAATATTAATAAACAAATTCAATCTGGCTCAGCGGCAAGAAGGTTGGACACGAAAGGAGACGGTCACGAGTTCGAACCTGGAAGAAGACACATTTAAGGTGAAAATATTTGGACGATGACGTGGCGAGGAGGAGTGATGTGGCAATGACGTGGAGGTGGCTAGTGATGATGTGGCAGTTGGCGGTGATGATGTGGCCGCCGATGGCGATGACGTGGAGGTCGACGGTGATGACGTGGCGGCCGGAGACGATGACGTGGCACCGACGGCGATGACGTGGCATTGGTAAAGCCAATTCTTCTTAGGCATTACTTTCAACGGCGACATTTTTGTCGCCGCGGAAAGACTTTTTGGCAGCGACATTGTTGTCGCCGCTGAAAGTGTTTTCGGCAGCGACACTAGTCGTCGCTGAAACTTCTAAAAGTTGCCGCTGAAAGTATCTTTTAGCGGTGACCTTTTTAGTCGCCACTGAAAGTATTCAGCCATGGCTGCTACGGCAATGACTTTTCAGCGGCGACTTGTCGCCGCAACAAACTTTCGGCGGTGACTTTTGTTGCCGCTGAAAGTCAATTTTTTTGTAGTGCAAGTTGCGTGTCAAGTATTTTCGCATCAATCACTTCATTTTTATTAGGTTTAGGACATTTTAGTCCTTAAACTATTCTTTTATGAAGACCAGTTATCCTAAACTAATGCTGATGCTCTATTCCACATTCATTAATTATTTGGACCATTAGGCATTTTTTGGTATGACAAAGTGAACTTCAAGGGAATGGGAGTGAGATTAAAATTGAGAGTGAGATCATCATTTAAAAGTACGTTAAAGCTCCATACCTTATTCTTGTCAGGAGAATAACACAAACTTCAATTCCCGAAAGCATTTTTATTGTCCTTTCCCCTCTAGTGTCAAATAATGTATCATTAAAATGCCTCCCCTTCCTTCCCCCTTGATCGATTATTAAAATTTCTTCCCTCACCACCCTTTCCTTTCCCTCCCCTCTATACGTCTCCTCCCTTCTCCTACTCTCCCGTTTCCTCTATTGAAATCCCTCCCTCCCCTTCCCCTTTTCAAGCCAAACAAAGCATAAAAGAAGCTTAGACATTTTAAATTTTTTATTTAATTTTTTGTTTAGCCATGGAATTAGCCACAATACAAGTCGATAAATTCATCTAAAGGCTATGTATGTATCTGGCTTCCTACGTACACAATTTATTATAGAAACGTAGATTGTTATAACTTGTTCGAATATATATATATATATATATATTTGTGTGAGTTTCATGAATTACGCTAGGCAGGTCAAAATCAGAAAGTGGAAGAGTAAAAAAAAAAAAAAAACAAGGATTAGTTGTTACCCGAAATCAGGTGTCAATGTGAAGCCATGTCGCAAAGAACACAAAACGCTGGCTCTTCGTAGGGAATCCCTAGGGGAAATGGATTTACCGAATATTATTGGAAAATAGTAGTTCTCGAACCGCACACGCACTTCATGGCTTCTCTCTCCATAGAAGAAAGGCAACACTGTTTTGGGAGCCGACATTATATCCCCCAGCCTCTCAAGGCATATGCAAGACTTGACGAATTCTGGTGTGATTACCACCACCACAATTCTGCATCTTTCTATCATCTTCCATATGGAATGCTCGACGAAGTCAGCAAAGTAAGTTCTCATCCCAGCGTCCCTTAAAGCATTCTCGAAAATAATTCTTACAGGATCTTCGATACCATTGAATAAAGTTAGGAGGACGTGGAATTGGAAGGTCAATTTGGGTTCAGACGATGAAGAGGCCGAGGAAGACATGGCTGGATTGGTCGCAGTAGATCAGCAAGACATGAAGATTTGGGTGAACGATCGATTCCTCAAATCACTTCCCTTTTGTACTGATAGCTGCAAGCACTTTCTTTGGTCGGTTAGCGCGTTCAATGCTCTGCATTAATTGGTTGCTTAGACCATTCAATGCTCTCCATTAATTCTTAATCTTTTTCTTCTTCTTTTTGCCTTCGAGTCAATGCTGTCTGCTCTGTACGTAGTTACGTTGTTATATGAGTCTTCATGCTCATCAATCCAATACAATTTAAACCATCAAAATTTTAATATAGATGGTTTAAATTTAAAATTTTAATATAAAATTTTTGTAATAATAAATTTATTTTTTAAAAATATATTAGTTATGATATTATATTTATTTTAAATTTTATATCTATTAAAATAAAAATTTAATTATATTTAATATGGATCATCTAAAATTAATTTAGATTGTCGAAATTGTGACAGCGTTGTACATTTATTATTATAGTGCTCACTTATTATATGATGACCTTCTGCCAAGGTCGCATAGCGCGTTAAATGATCCGGATTTTGCGGAAAACTTCTTTTCTTTTTAAATTTTAGAGCAATATATGATGGACACCTTCCACGAAGGTTGTTTGCACAGGAAACAACCTTTGCTTTTCAACTTTTTGACTTTGACTTTTCCATCAAAAAGCAAACGCAGAAAGCCAAAACGTCATGATTCTGCCCTCTTACCCCGCCCCCAAAATTTCTGTCTGTATACCTTTTTCAGGAACTATGGTATAAGTGTTGACCAGAGGCTCTACACAGACAACCATCTGATTCTCCAGGTCACCACACCCTCATGGCCAAGAAAGGAAGCATTATTAATGGAAAAAATTGGGAAAACATTAACTGCAATTAACCAGCCTGACACAGGAGAAGACACTTCATGTCTTTCTCTTGGATCTTTCCCTCCAAACTCACCATCAGCTAGCAACATAACACTTGAAGAATTCCAGAGAGATTTCATCATGCGTGCTATCAGATCTCCACCAAACAGGTCACAGGTCCCTCCACAGACAGAAACCTTTGAAGACCCTTATGACGGAGACTCACAGATTCAACTCACCCAGCCTGAAAGACTCTATCTCCCTCAGCCAAGTTTCCAGTCACAACTCCCATTCCTTGCAAGAGAATCCCAGGATCTTAATCAAGATGACCTTGACCCAAACCTCGAAGACTACTACTGCACAAGGAGACACTATGACTCAGATGACCCTGACCCAGAAGGCATCATGAACCTATCCCCTAGCCATGAGCCTATCTATAAAGACTAGGAGACATCATCATTAGGAAATCTCCTTTTTGGATACTCTGAAGATAAGGCGAGACCCGCAGATTCCCACTTTATGTCACCATCTACTTTTACTTTATTAAAGTAGTTTGTCCTGTAGTCTATTTCGTCCTCTTGTAATCAGTAAAGTGAACGTCATCATTAGGTATCATTATGACGGGTCATAATTACATCTACCCATCATGATGATGTGTACTATTAGGACTTTGTCATGTAGTGGCCCCGAGCCTCTATATAAACCCCACTCTGCCATCAGTCACAGGCAGAAGGAGTTGTATCGACTTCCTTGTATAATACTAGTGTGCTTTCCTCATGAGTTCTCTCTAAATTTCTCTCTTCTTCTGAAAACCTCACTTATAATGTCTTTCTTCTGTCTCCAAAGATTCTAAGTATGCTTTGCACTTGCCTCTTTAAGAGGATCCTGTGCATCAGAAAATAGAATCTGACCACGATCCATGAAGGAGTGTTTAGTGACAATCTTTCCAGTTATCCTAGATCTGGTATTCAAAGCTGAGAGTCCTAACGTGGCTCGTCGATGAGTTGAGAATGAGTGGCCTTACCTGGACTAAAGCCTTGGATATCAGACAGTGTTAGCTTGGTCCGGTTCAGCTAACGCACCCAAGTGGTATCAGAGCCAGCACAATTTCTGACAGAAGTGAGATATTGTTAGTGAAGGTGACTAAGAAGATACCATCTTATCATGAGTGAAACCTCAAACAGTCTTGAACCCGTTCGCCTTTCTTCTTCCTTCGTCCCACAAAGACTTCCCTCCTCTGTTCGTAGAACTCTCTCCAGAAAAATAGAAAACCTTATTGAGATAGATCATCTTCCTGAAGATGCTAGAATTTAGGAAGCAGATCTGCCTCTTCTCAGTCCCTACAGCCTTTATCACCATACCAATCGTGTCACCAGAAATGTTAGAAATTTGATCTCCACCCAAAGACCTCATGTGAAAGAAGTTGTTCAGTCTACCAAACTAGAAAACTGTGGTCTTCCTGCCTCTTCCTCTGAACAATATGTCACTATTGATATACCTCAACCTTTGATCAACGAGTAGATAGCTCAAGGTTATATCCATCTTCATATTGGTGTTGTACGCCTTATCCTTACACTTCATGGGAGAAAAGGAATTCCAGCCACTACTAAAATTGCTTTAGTTGATACTACCTATACTACTTACAGTAATGCTTTGATTGGTGCTGTCCTGACCACTCTTAGCAATGGTAGTGTGATCTTTACTATGGCTCCAGACTTCAACATCAAGCTTTTAGATCCAACTTTGACAAAAAGACTAAAAATCCAAGTCCAGATAGTTGGAGCAAAGCAAGATCCCAGCTATCGCAGCAACTCTTCATCATCAAGTCCTTTACAGACTCCAAAACCATGCTCTTGATCTTCATTTTCCAAATTCCACTAAAGATGCTCTTTATGTGGTTTCCGATAGAGCTGATGATATCTCCATCATCCAGATTCCTCGACAGATCCCAAAAGAGGAACTTGCTCAGATGATGCCTCTTGAGTGGATCACTAATTATGTAAAACACTTTCATGGTGTTCAAAGGGATGTCCATACTTCTACTCCTCCTGAGATAAAAAGGCTTCCAAATGGCACTGTCAAGACCGTGTTCACCAAGCCAGGCCAGGAAGGTTCTTCTGTATCTTCCGGACGTATTCTGACTATCACCCCGGCCTATGTAGAGCCGGGAAAACGGGCCGACCCTGTAGGGCCGCGGGCTGGCCCGTTTAGGCCCGCCAATTTTTTTTTTAAATTTCTGTCTTTTTTTCTTAACTTAAAAAAGAAAATCCTAACATTTTAAACATATCATACTCTTAGTTTTACTTATCTTGGCAACTCACATAGATAGCATTCACAAAAAGAAAAAAAGAATCACTATAGTTGTGCGAAAAATAACCCAAAAAATATGAAAATTGCAAAATTTAAAACTAGGTATATTCACAAAAATATATTGTTAAATAAGTTGTCAAAACCTATTAAAATACTGTATGTGTAATTTTTACAGTCTTTATTTGTCATTCTCCAATATTTTTTTATACTTGAAATATAATTGATCAAAAAATCTTTTAAACTAAAATAAAGATCTATATCATTTTTATAGTAGAAACAAATTTAGAACTAAGGATGATGGACTCTTTTCTTTTTTGTCGATATGACAAATGATTATTCTTCATGTATACTATGTTTGTTAGTTAAAATTTTTTGTTAATTATTTATAATCAAACTAGATCATCCGCATTGTAATTATCTACTGAACTTAATGCTTATTTAGTTGTTTATGTCTGTCCTCTATTTAGTTTGTTTATTCAATAGACTTTATTACACTGTAATATATGTTTAGACATGATAATGTTTATATTTGTGACTCAATTTTATTTATATTTATACCTTTTATTAGTAATTTTATTGTTTCATTTTTATTATTTTGATAAAATATACAAAAAAATTAAAAAAATTCATTTTAGTTAAAAAGGCCAAAAGCCCGCGGGCTAGCCCGAGCCCGTCATCTCACGGGCCGGGCCTGAAAAAACGACTTATTTTTACAACTCGGGCTTAAACGGGCCGGCCCGTTTAAGCCCGAGCCCGTGACGGGCCGGCCCGTTTTCCCAGTACTAGGCCTATGTTTCATCCAAGCGAGAACCTCTAATTGCTTGGGTAGACCAAAATGCCAAGCCATGTTATGTGTCTCACATAAATGGCCATTTCATTTGGGATCATGCACCAGAAGAATGTGATCCTGATTGTGAGTGTGATACACCTTACTGGTGGGAAGCATCAGACGATGAAGATGAAGATGGATGGTCTTACCCCATCAGATATGCCATTAAAAGGAAGAAAAAGGAGAAGGATACATCCCTTTGTTCCCACAAACATTACCATCATCACCATGATGATGATGATCATGGTCCGAAACAGAAAGCTAGAAATTGGAAGGTTCCTGTCTCTACTATTCCTTCTAACAGATTATCTCTATATGATTTGCTGAAAGAAACAGGTCATGAAGATCTCCTTCCTAAACAGAGGCCAGACCCAATAATTCCTGTCAATCCTATCATCCAACAATCCATTTTATGTATAGCAATGATGGATCCTTATGAGCAGGATTTTCCTCCTCTTGAAAGAAGAACCAACAGAGAAACAAAGGTTACAGCAAGGCCTTTCTCTATTCCAACAGAAATCTCTCCCACTGGTGAAGCTAGACCAGTCTCAGCAGCAAAAGAAGTTCTCAACTGGCAGACCCAGAATGCAATCGGCCAAAATAAAACTTTGACAAAGATTGATTCAAAGCTTGACCTGCTGACTCTTAGAACTGATACTTTGACAAGCAGGCTTGACCAAGTCTCTGATCAAGTCAAATAGCTCTATATGACTCTATCTTCTCAGGCTTACCAACTGGATGTAGATCTGAAGCGATTTATCAAAAAGGGGTATATTGGACCAGAATTTACCAGGAAAGAGCAAGAACTGTCACAAATCCAAAAGGATTTGCAAAGGATCGAGTCAGACATCGCTAAAGATCATTCACAAACCATCTATGACCCTTATCTGTCTTACCCCTCTGGTTTCCAACCTCCTACATATCCAACATCACCTATTTTAAGACAGTTGAGAAAATCTCGACAACCGACTCTTTCACCTGTCCAACCAAATCCTCCT